AGCAACTTTGGAAAATAGTTAAGTTAGAACGTATTTCTTCAGAATAACATTCCATACTCTGTACTTGTAGAAGAGGTAGCTGGGTTAGTCTGTGCAAGCGTTATGGGCAAAAACAATAAATAAATAAATAAATAAATAAATAAATAAATAAATAAATAAATAAATAAATAAATAAATAAATAAATAAATAAATAAATAAATAAATAAAAGACAAAAATATGGTGGCACCTTAAAGATTTATGTTTTAGGTTATATTTTAATGTGAATTATTGTATTTTAATGTGAGCTTTTGGGGACAAGTCCACTGCCTCAGACATGAGAGATATCTGAGGAAGTGAACTTGTCCATGGAAGCTCAATATTAAGACATAACAGTTAGTCACCACGTTTTTGTCTTTTTAATTTGTCATTTTATTTTTCTTTTGTTTTTACCTATGATTCCATACTCTGACAGCTAAACAGTCACAAACTACACTTAATACGGGTGGGAGTTTGTGTGTTTGCATTTCCCCTACGCTGACTGCCCCACATCCTCTGCATTCGGTTTTAAGGTTGTTGTACCACTTTCTAGTATGAAAAAAGGTCACAGTCTCAAGAAGAAAGCCTCTGGCTCCGGCAAAAATAGCAACCACTGCAATGTGAAAGAGCTGCCTATCGTCCGCCCCATGTAGTTCCAACTAGTGGGGTTCATTGACAAGGCATGGAATCCAACCATGGAGAAATGGTGGATCAAAGACCCTTTGGTTAGGTGATGAATGGGAGCTGGTCTCATGCTCCACTAATAAAAATCTTGCATCTAGTTCAGTAAGGATCAAAAGCCAAAAGGAACTGGAAATATCCACTGGACGCCTATCAAAAGGAGAGACTACATTTTGCAATATTTGTGGTATTTTAAAAGCTTTTGTTCACTAAAATATCCAATGCATTTTGTCGTAATTATTCTACGAACTTCTCCAAGGGCATTAATTTAGCAGTGCAAGCAAAGATCCGTCAGTCTGTTTCCAGACTTCACTGAACAATTGGCTGAAATGCGTTGGACATTTTTCAAGGAATAAAGCCCATTATTGAAACCTCCTTCCGATTAATAATGCTCAAGCTATTCATTGACAGCTTATTTGCCATTAGACCAACCGGTACAGTCACACATGCTCTTTAATGAAGTCAAATGAGCACTTGCCTCAAATCAGGAACAAGGTAACTATGCAGTTGCTATCAACCAAGACAAAGAAACACTGGAAGAGGCTTCTTAAATGATGGGCATTCCAACTGTGACAGCCAGTATGGTGCAGCTGATAGCGCGTTGTGTTAGGACTCAAGACCTGGGTTCAAATTCCCACTCAGCCGTTCCTATTCACTTTTGGTGGGGGCAGCAACAGTAAACCATTTGAACAGCTCACATTCCTCAAAATGCTTATTATGGTTTCTTTAAGTTGGAGTGATTTAACAGCACAACAGCATCAGCTGTGCAAAGACATACTGGATTTATACCAGGGTGTGACATAGTTTCCCCAAAAAAGTTTGGAAGTTGCAGTTTGATCAGGGCCAGCCCTACCATTAGGCAGAATGTGGTGGCTTCCCCCAAGGCAGGATATTCTGGGTGTTATCAAAAGGCACAATATGGTTTGAAAGGTGTTATTCTTGTATTTTTATTGCCAGAGAAGTGAGAAGCATTGGTGGGAACCTCCTGCCTCACCTGCTGAAATAACTGGCCAGTCTTTGGTCCTTTTCCACTTGAATTGGTAGGAGGTGCTATTTATTCTCTGCCACACAATGACTGTGGACTAATCCTGAATTTGATAAGGGTTTGATCATTCCCTAAGTTCCCTGCCCTTAAGCAAACAAGTGGTTAAAATGCTGTATTGCAGCTAAAACTGTGCTCACGATCTGGGGTTCAAATCCCAGGTAGCCGGCTCAAGGTTGACTCAGCCTTCCATCCTTCCGAGGTCGGTAAAATGAATACCCAGCTTGTTGGGGGGGGGCAATGTGTAGCCTGTATAATTAAAATTGTAAACCGCCCGGAGAGTGCTTGTAGCGCTATGGGGCGGTATATAAGTCCAAAAAAAAAAAAAAAGTTCTCCAGGCTCCATGAAGAGACAGATGATTAAACTAGTCAGCATTGTGAAATATACAGATACAACCTCTATCACAATGTTCTATCCAGTCCTAGGGATAATTATCCTTATGTGTGGAAGCTGATCATTTGCTTTTAATGCTTGAGTTTACAGATTTTAATCCCTTTAACAAAAGAGATGTTTCCCCTTGCTTATATAAAGTCAGTTTCCCATGTAGCAATAATTTAATACAAACCTTATAAATTATGTTGAAGAAGATCAACAAAACTGTTCAGGTTAATTAATTTTCTGGGCACTTTATACGTTTTGGTGAAGGAATTTCTTGCTTATAAAATCCATACTGAAATAAAATAGTTATTAAATTTTGATGTTTGCTGTTTAGGTTTGCTGGAAATCACTTCCAAATAAATCACACACACACACACACACACACACACACACACGCACACAAGGAGGGAGGGAGGGAAGGAGAGATCATTCATTTCCCTGGAATTTTCCATTGTACAAAGAAAAGGGTGGACATTTTCCAGTCAGCAAAAATTAAAATACTTGGAAGTCACACTTGCTTCTACCTACAAACCGCAACATTTTCCCCTCGCATAGTCACTTCCAAGTAAAGATTACTGGTTTGTTTTCTTTTCGAAAATCACATTGAAACTATAATTTCCTCTTCCAAACAAGCTAGAGAAAAGAGACATAATGGAATATTCACAGACAATTATGATTGGGGGTGTGGTTGTTAGTAGTGTATTTTCTCGGGGGTGGAGTGTGTGAGGAAATTGAATGTAGTTTGGAATACTATTTCTCAGAATCTCCCAAGCAGTTTACCCAGTAAAAAAGGCACTTTTCCAAGCTCTTGGTTCTACCCCATCTTAGGGCAGCTGGCTAGTTTAGCAGATGAACAAGAGGCAACATGGCAACCCACACCTCTCTGATGTCTCACAGAATTTGCTGCTTGATGTAACGGCCTAATGATAGGACTGGTTTTGTAATGACATGCATGACTCTCTGATGCTAACTACGGTCCCTGTCCCCCCACTGGGAAGCGGTGGGAATGGCCTGTGGTTCTCTCCTTTGGGAAAAGAGATAGAAGGGAGTTGCCATCCTTCTGTAAAACGAGTCGTGGTGTTCTGCCTCTCCATAACATCACGTTACAGCTATAGGATCCATGATAGGGTGGAGATTAGTGCTAAGCCACTGCTCCTGTTTTTCATTTTAAATAATAATCTGTTTGCAGCCCAGGACTCAGTCACAACCAATCGCCTTGAAAGGTCGCAGTGAGAATGAATATCTTCCCCCCCTGCAAACCCTTTATCACATGCAAGTGTCACCAATACGATACGCTCAAGATGAAATATGCAGAATCCCCACTGATCCAATGGGCCTACTCTAGTTGCAGCTTACTGGTGGAGGCAACCCTAGTACCGTATTTTACCATGTATAAGACTTTTGTCTAAAATCTTTAGACTAAAAATTGAGGGTCATCTTATACACGGAAGTAATCTGAGGAGGGAACAAAAACAAGTGGAGGGGAAAGCAGGGATCAAAGCGATCCTGCAGTGCTTTGATCCCTTCCCCCTACACTTGCTAATCCCCACTTAGATGTTTTAATTTTGGATTAGAAAGGTGGGGGTGGGGCGTCTTATACATGGGGGCATATTATACACGGAAAAATACAGTATAATGTGTGAAGATTCCCAAGTGGCTGCGCAGGAGGAAAGGGTGGGCATGGCTTGCCATCCTTTTCCATTTGGCTTCCCTCAGGGTGGAAATGCTGTTCTTTGGATCAAGGGGCCCTGGGCCCAAATGGACCAACACCAGCCCAAGTGACCTCTAAGGACTGAAGAAAATATGACATGGGGTAGCACCATATACTTTAGCCCAAATTCCTTGTACGAACAACAGAATACATTTATTGTGGGAGGGGCGTGTGTCTCTCTCTCTCTGTGTGTAAGTCTGTTGTGGCAGAGCAGGTATTCCCAAAAACTATGACAAAAAATGTTTTTGTGGCACCTTGAATGCAAACAGATTTTACTGGCAAAAGCTTTTTTGGGACTACAGTCTATCAAGAGGTGCAAGGAGGAAGTAGACCTACGCCACAAAATTTCAGGACTTTACAGTGTGGCACAAGATTTGTTGTTTTATCAGGGACGCATTGGATAAATGGGTAAAGAGACCTCAAATTCTCTTCTCCTTCCTGCCCCAATTTCATAAAATAAAGTTCTGCTTTCCATAAGGCTCTCGCTGTTCAAGAACAGAATGATCTCGGTATTAGAGAGGCTTTAACTAGCTGTTGGGGGCATCGTTGACAGGTAAATATGAAAGGTGTGAAGCTTTGGGTTCAAATACTGTAAACAATAGCCAACTCCAGTGGTCTCACTTCCCTGCAAATCGAAGTATCAGGTCTCCATTACATCTAAGAAACACAGCTGGCACAGGGATATTTTGGAAATTTCATGTATGTTCAGGTGTTTAATATTTGGTTGTTGTAGGTTTTTCCGGCTGTTTGGCCGTGTTCTGGAGGTTTTTCCTTCTAACGTTTCGCCAGTCTCTGTGGCCGACCTCTTCAGAGGAGAGGAGCTAGAACTCTGTCTGTGTTCTAGTGTGACACAGAGTTCTAGCTCCTGTCCTCTGAAGATGCCAGCCAAAGAGACTGGCAAAAGGTTAGGAAGAAAAAACCTCCAGAACACAGCCAAACAGCCCAGAAAACCTACAACAACCATCAGATCCCGGCCGTGAAAGCCTTCGAGAACATGTTTCACACGGACCTAGCGTCAGAGTAGATAAAATTAATGATGTTTTTTAAAATCAAATTGAGTTAAATCACAATTTAAATTTTTAAAATCAATCTAAATTTAAAAATTAAAATCATTTTTAAAAATTTAATTTAAAAAATCTTATTTTTAAAATTTGTATCATGTGAATCAATTTGATTTAAATCAAATCCACTCTGCTCTGATAGCAGATAATCAATTATTAAAACAGAGACTGGTTTTAGAACACTGAGGCCTGTTGAAATTTACAGTCAGGCATCAGAGGGTAGAAACCAAGAAAATAACCAGGTTGTGGTATCAAAGATTAGAGCTGCTCAGAGAATGAGGCAAAATCAATGGGGTCTGATGTTGGGCTTATCCCAGAATAAGCATCAAAGCCAGACTAAGAGATTTAGAGAAAGATCTGACCAGATGGAATGAGATATCAGAGAACTAAAAATTTTGAGAGGAAGATTCTGTCAGCACCATTTAAGTTACAAAACTGATCTCAAGTTTACAGTACAGGTCTTAGGGAAAGGACATAAGAGTCTGCTATCAGGGCCAAAGGATCTACATTTGGGCCAAGAGGTAACAGTTTTGTCTGGATCAGGCCCCAATTTGAGTCCGCTGGTGCTTGGAGAAGATGCCAGTTTCACAGTAAAGATGCTTAGTTTGAGGTCAAAGAACAGATGTGAAGTCAGAAGGCTCAATAGTTGCTAAGAAATTTATGGTGCTCTCCCGGGGAGAAAGCAGTAGTCCAGGGCCCTCCTCAGCAGAATGAGTGCCAGTGGCGAATGGCTGGCCTACCAACCTTTAAGGAAGTGGAATAACAATTACCATCTAAAGAAGAACATGGATGGTGAAGACTATAAAATCCAGATTCTAGCATGACCACTGTTAAGTGCCCCACAGTTAGAGACAGCACCAGGTTCCAAAATAAGGATTTCCTGATGAGAAGGAGAGAACCGGGAGCAAGGAAGCAAAATAGGTAAATATTTGGAAAAGGTCGAATATGATGGAGGAACTTCCTGCTTTCTCTTCCTTCTCCAGTGTCAGAGGTCAAGGGGCAAGGTGGGTACGCTGGTGTTTGGAAAAAGCAGAACTCCAGCGGAAGGATTTCCCGCAAGCACCACAAACATATGGCCGCGTGCCGGCATGCTGGTGCTGGTGCTCGGCGAGGTTGCCCCTCTGCCGAAAGCTCTTGCTGCAGATGGGGCACCGGTAGGGTCTTTCGGCTGTGTGAACCCGCCAATGCTTGACCAGGTGCGAGTTCTGGGTGAAGGATTTGCCGCAAGAGCTGCAAACGTAGGGCCTCTCGCCCGTGTGCGTGCGCTGGTGCTGAATGAGGTTGGAGCTTTGACGGAAGCCCTTGCCGCATTCGGTGCACCGGAAAGGGCGCGCCCCTGTGTGAGTGGCCTGGTGCTTGGCTAAGTAGGAGCCCAAGGCAAAAGCTTTGCCACAGATGGCACAGCGGTGGGCCTTGCCAGGGGTGTGCGTGCGCCGGTGCTCTGCCAGGTTAGAGCTCTGGCTGAAGATTTTGCCGCATTCCGGACACTTAAAGGGCTTCTCGCCGGTATGCGTCACCTGGTGCCGCAAGAGCTTTGAACTTTGCGCGAAACTTTTCCCGCACTCAGGGCACTTATAAGGGCGCTCGGCTGGGTGGCAGCTGCGCCGGTGTTCTGCAAGTCGGCAGCGCCACGCAAAGGTCTCGCCGCACTGAGGACATCGGGACGGGGGGTCTCGCTGGTGCTGCCGAAGCCCTGAAAGGAGGACAAAGCCCTTTCCACAAGCCGGGCACCGGAAAGGTCGCTCCTCGCCCAAGTGGCGCTGCTGGTGCCTCCCCAACTTGCTGCTGTCGGGAAAGTGCTCGCCGCACGTCGGGCAGCGATAGGCGTCGTCCTCCGACATATGGATGCGTTCGTGGGCCACCAGCGTAGCAAAGAGGGCGAAGGTCTTGCCACAGGCTGCGCAGGAGTATGGCTTCTCCAAGGCCTCCTCTGCGGGATGGCTCAGAGGGTGAACCTTAAGCTCCGAGTTCCTAGAAAATGCTTCGCCATAGTGGTCGCAGGGGCAGGATGGCTCACCTGTGCCGTGGCTGATTTTATGCATCACAAGATCTGCCTTTTCAAGGAAGCTGTCGCAGCCTATGGGGCACTGATCAGGCTTTTCCTCCTCCTTTTCCTTACCAGCATCACTCTTCTGGTGAAGCATCCGCTCATCACTACTGCCAAAGGCTCTCCCGCAAGGGGGGCAAGCACCAAACTCCATGCCCAGGTGGATCCTCTGGTGCACAGCTACAGCAGCAGCCTCAGCAAAGCGGCTTCCACACTCCAGGCACTTAAAGGCCTTCTCCTCCGCATCATGAGTGCACTGGTGCTGCTTCAAGTTCAAACTACTGGGGAAATGCTCTCCGCACTGGTGGCAGGAATAGGATATATCTCTAAGGTGTACCCTCTGATCTCCCTCAAGTGCAGAGCTTTCAGGAAAGCAAATGTAACCGTCAGAGGATTTGTAAGGCTTCTCTTCCACACGGCTGCTCACTACATGAACCTCTTGTTTTGACTGGTCCAGGAGTGTTTCTGCACCTCGATCACAGTGGTTTGCAACTCGACTCACATGGAGCTTCTGATGAGCTGTCAGAGAGCAACTTTGGCTGAAGCTTTCTTCACAGACAGGGCATCTATGCGTTCTCTCTTCCTCCCCATCTGCCTGATCACTTGGCTGCTCGGCGACCTTTGAAACTTCGAGAGAAGATTCCTCCGTTTGCTGGATGCCCTGATCCAGGACTGTACATGATAGGTCTGACTGCTCCTCTCCCATTTTATTTCCCCATCTATTGCCATCTGCACGGTGGTTGCGCATGTGCTTAGCCAGGTCAGAGCTCACGCCAAAGCACCGGCCACATTCTCTGCACAGATAGGGCTTTTCACCAGTGTGAGTCCGCCGGTGAGTGACAAGGGTCGATTTGCGGCCAAAGCACTTCCCGCAGTCCGGGCAGGCGTGGGGGCGTTCGCCCGAATGCGTGCGCAGGTGGTGCACGAGGGTGGAGCTCTGCGAGAAACGGGCTCCACATTGGTGGCACCGGAAGGGCTTCTCCCCCGTGTGCACCCGCTGATGCTCTGCTAGCGTGGAACCGCGGGCAAAAGACTTTCCACATTCGCCACAGATGTGGGGGCGGCAGCCACCGTGTGTCTTGAGATGCTCCGCCAGCGATGAACTCCAGCTGAAGCCATGTCCACACTCAGGACATCGGAACGGGCGCTCTCCTGTGTGGATCCGCTGATGTTTCACCAGGTTCGAGCTCTGTGCAAAACCCTTCCCACACTCAGAGCACCGGAAGGGGCGAGAGTCTGCTGGGAGGGATGCACCGGCACCCTTCTCTTCGAGGTCCATTTGAGCCCAGTCGCTCCTCTCTCGGCATGTATCAGTCTCTTCTTCCTCAATTTCACCCCCCACCACCTCTTCTGGGTCTCCCTCACTTGGCGTATCAGAGCCTGGTGGGAGAAGGAAGCAGCATGCAATTCAAGTTAATTTTTTTTTCAAGAACTCATTTTTCATTTATTTTCCAGTATGCTTTCCAAGCCTGGGGTTGGCAGATTTAATGACTCATCTATGTTCTATACATCCCGCGTGTCTCTGGTGCAGGATGCTAGGCAGCTCATAGCATGTATCAGAAAAAGAATCAGCTAAAATCACAGTAAGGTAAAGGTAAAGGTTCCCCTTGACAATTTTTGTCCAGTCGTGTTCGACTCTAGGGGGCGGCGCTCATCCCGCTCTTCAAGCCATAGAGCCAGCGTTTTGTCCGAAGACAATCTTCCGTGGTCACATGGCCAGTGCGACTTAGACACGGAACGCTGTTACCTTCCCACCGAAATGGTCCCTATTTATCTACTCGCATTTGTATGCTTTCGAACCGCTAGGTTGGCGGGAGCTGGGACAAGCGACAGGCGCTCACTCCGTCACGTGGATTCGATCTTACAACTGCTTGGTCTTCTGACCCTGCAGCACAGGCTTCTGCGGGTTAGCCCACAGCGCCACCACGTCCCCTTTAAATCACAGTAAATATTTTAAAATCAAAGAAACAATGTAATGCCTAACAGACCCACGGCAAGATTTTGCCCATCTCAATCCCACCCGCATATTATTCGTTCTTGGTTCCCCATCGTATTCAGAGCAGACCGCTCAACCAAAGAAGGGCAGAAGTGGCGTGACTTCTTTTATCCGATCAACTTCAGTGAGTGCCAAAGAACTTTTGTTTCCTCTCCCATTTCTGGATCCTTCTCTTCGTGAGGATCAGGATGGGCAAACGCTCACTCCGTCACGTGGATTCGATCTTACAACTGCTTGGTCTTCTGACCCTGCAGCACAGGCTTCTGCGGTTTAGCCCACAGCGCCACCACGTCCCCTTTAAATCACAGTAAATATTTTAAAATCAAAGAAACAATGTAATGCCTAACAGACCCACGGCAAGATTTTGCCCATCTCAATCCCACCCGCATATTATTAGCTCTTGGTTCCCCATCGTATTCAGAGCAGACCGCTCAACCAAAGAAGGGCAGAAGTGGCGTGGTTTCTTTTCTGCGTTCAACTTCAGTGAGTGCTGAAGAACTTTTTTTTCCTCTCCCATTTGTGGATCATTCTCTTCGTGAGGATCAAGATGGGCAAACTAAACACTCTAGCTGTGACTTACTACTGGATTTCAATCTTTGTTGCATTAATATTTCACTTTTCCTCCAGTGAGCTCAAAGTGGCTCTTTCCCTCCACAACAATCTTGAGAAGTAAATCAGGATGAGAAAGAGCAAGATTACTCAGATAGTTTCAACCAGAAAGTCTCCCCAAATCCCAAAGTATTTTGTTTGTTTATTTATTTTAATTTTTAAGGGGCTTGTTTGCTTTTCGGTAATGTCGCTGCATTTCCTCTCCCATTTGTGGATCATTCTCTTCGTGAGGATCAAGATGGGCAAACTAAACCAGTGGAGATTTGGTGAGTCAACACCTGTGTAAATTCCATTGATTCAATCAGCCTACCCTAGCTGTGACTTAGTATTGGATTTTAATCTTTGCTGCATTTATATTTCACTTTTCCTCAAGTGAGCTTAAAGTGGCCAACGTGGCTCTCTTTCCCTGCACAACAATCTTGAGAGGTAGATCAGGATAAGAAAGAGCAAGATCACTCTGATAGTTTCACCTGGAAAGTCTCCCCAAATCCCAAAGCATTTTGTTTGTTTATTTATTTAATTTTTTAGAAGTGGCTTGTGTGCTTTTCGGTAATGTCGCTGCGGTATAATTGCCCTTTATGACTAGCTTGTCATTACGTTCTCAAATGCTGAGCTACACTTCTGGATGGAGCAAAAAGAGGAACTGGGGTTGAGGATTGGACTAAAAACAGGTTTCCTGAATCTTAGCCCAGTATTCTGACTGCTATTCCACAGAAGCAACCAAGGATTCCTCACCTGCATTGACAACCCTAAGCACTTGCCTCTCCTGAATGTTTGACGGCTCCACTTCCTCCTCATGTTCCATCCCAAAGTGTGGGTCAGCATTCGACAACCTAAATAATAATCCAGGATACACGCCAATTATACAGCAGTTTCACTGTCCTAAAGCACACATTTCCTTCAAAAATGAATAAACAAACAAAATATTTTGGAATCTTTGGACTCCGTGATTCAAAGCCACTGGATCTTTTCACAGATGCCTCTAAAACTGACCCTGGTTTTGTCCATAATCTGTAAATCAAACAACAGACCTGCACCAAGCAAAAGATCGATGTGATTTTTCTAACAGAATGGTCATATGGAAAACAGATATTTTGCCTTTAATAATCGTCTGAGGGAGAAATTTAGGCAGATAGAGCTTACATAAGAATGTGCAGCTTATATAACAAGCTTCAAGTGGTAAAATTCCCTTGTCCACACAACTCGTAAAGCTACAGGGTCCCTGTCTTCCTTTACAAATGACCATGTTCTTTCCAAATAGTTCCCTTCCATTTCTTTTATTGTATGAATGATACCTCTGTGTATGTATACAGTATATACATAGGATCCCTTTTCATGCATTTAATGAAGCCTAGTCTTTCCAGAGTACTGTAGAGGGGAACAGATTTGTGTTTTCAGGCTAAGGCTTCCAGAACTGCCTGAGGAATTCTGGGAGATGTAGTCCAAAACCAGAAATCTAATCCGGTGCCTTTTAAAAGTGAGAGTAAGGTGACAATTGGCCCTGGCCTCACATGTATTTCCATGGTGTATTTACCAGAACTGGCCACTAGATGGAGCCAGGCACCAAGCAAAGTATAGCATTCACATTTTCCCATTGTTCAGCATGGCAGGCCTTGGAACTGATCCCCTGCAGGTACAGTACCACAGTCACACCCTACTCCAAATTAGGATGTGCAAGGCTATGGAGAAGGCCTGGTCTGTTCTATCTCCTGACTCCTATACCCCCAGCCCTTACAGAGCCCAACATTTCAGGAGAACAGGCACACCAACATCTCTAAAGCTAAGTAAGGGAAACTTGAAGCTAAGGGGATTTACCGTACTTTTTTTAAAAACTAGAACCCCAATCTCCACAGCTGGAGGTTCAGGGGATGGAAAGAACCCATTGTCCTTTGCATCCAATGAGCCTTGCTTGAGATACAAGTATATATAGTTGAGTGACTACACACTAGAGGCACTCACAATCTAATTTAGATATTTAAAGAGACTTTAGTTAAACAACTGGAAAGTGGAGATTCTTTTTAATCTACTACTGTAAAGGATCCCCAGATCTACCAGGAGATCCCCATCTACTTCCCGTTTATCCTCAACAGAGACACTGGCATATCCCCAAGCCCTTCTGCATTACGCAGCCTGATCTTATGTATTTTGGAAATACATAAGAAATAAAACCCAACTAAGAGTGCTGTCAGACTGCAATATACTTTTTGTTTTGGCCCTCGTGGCATGGTCCAGTTAGAGCTATTTTCTGGCGACAAGATGATGTCTAGGACATCACAAACCAAGCCCAACTCAATCTAGATCTATGTACTAGATCTAGAAGAGTAGCAGGGCTACTCTTTTGCTGGAACTGGAAAACGATGCAGACCAGATCGAGTGTGAACAGAAGGGTTGCTTTAAAGAAGATTGCACTCAAGGATCCTTGTTCCAGCACAAATCCTTGTCTGATCACCCTGTGAGTTCAGCCCAGGACTCTTCCCCAAGTAAACAGGCATAAGATTTCAGCCCCACTGATTTCTTACATATGGGGAAAGGAAAATAAGAAAGCAGGTTTTACGTGGGAGTGCTGGGATCTTCCATTAGAGGAAAGGAGCTGCTTCTTTCTGATTCCATTGATAAGCCTGGGTAGGAGAAGGACACCACCTGTAGAAGAGGAGACAAGGAGAATGAGCAGACAGGAGAGAGAGGAAAAAAACAGAACGACAATTCATAGAATCGGGGAATTATACAGCTTGAAGGGATCCCAAGAAGGACCACTGAGTCCATCGCTCTGCTGAAGAAGGGAATCACTTCCACACTTAAAAGCTAACAACTCAGATCTGAAGAAAGACCCTTGCTGGACAAGGCAGTCTTCTTACACGCTTGTGAGCCCACTTGGGCCCCACAGGAGTAATAACAAATTGTTTCATCCTTTCTCTTGCACACACTTATACGCAGAGAAAAAGGTGAGCATTAAGCAGAAAACTACACACATACAAACTTTAGGATGTAGCCCATGGAGGGGAGGGCTGGAGTCTTCATCAGCCTTTCCCAGACTGGGAGGGGGGAGGGCGCCCTATGTGTTGAGCCACACTTACCACCAATCCCAAGTCATAATAAGGATGATTGATGGGAGTTGGACTGAAACCTATCCAGAGGGGAAAAGGCTAGGTAAGGCTGGGTGGGCTTGCTGAAAGTCAGCGCTGGCACCTCTGGAAATGGATTGGGGGGGGCATGCCCCCTTAGAGGGAAGGGTCCCTGTGTCTCTCACACACCACTACAGGCACACCTGCACATGTCTTGTGGGAAATGTGGTCTACTTCAAGCCTGACCTTGTCTTTTCATCGCTTTGCAGTGCCCTGCACGCGCCTCACGGACATGGGCACCCTATAGACCCCTATCTCCTGTCCTATCATGGACAGTGGCTCTGCTCCGGAAGGGTCGTGTTTGAGCCTCTCCTTCTCTCCCTCTCCACCCCACACGGGGCTACCCCATTCTTGCCCAAATGGCTGATCGCTCCTTTTACACCAACCTCGCGATCGCCTCCCTAAACTCCAGTTATGACCTCTGGTCCGGCTTGCCCCCCCTCTCTCTTTCTCCTCTCCTGGCAGGCGGGGTGGGGGGAAAGCACCTTCTCCAAGCTCCGACCCACCTGCCCGCCCCACTCCCCCGACCTAGCACGGCGCGCAACCTTTCCAAGCCACCTCGGGAAGAACCTTCTCCCCAATTCCTGCCTCCGGGGCGCCCCTTTCAGATCCACGCTCAGGCCTGGAAACCACCACCACCTCCATCCCCCTCTTCCTTTCCAGTTACCTTCCCGGGAACTTGGCCCCGATCCCGCCCCCTCGGAGCGCACGGCCTGCTCTTCTCCAGATGTCCTCCTGCTGCTGCTGCGCAAAGCTGGGTGCCCTGATCCGGCTGGACCCCCCCACA